ATATATATATATATATATATATATCAAATAATTGAAAAATTGAGGGTTATGTTGCTGAATCCTAATAACCTCATAAAACCTTCAGGAAAAAGATGCACTGAGATAATAGATCGGGATCAACGGCGTCTGCGACCTCTTCATTCATTTCTAACAGTCTCTTTGTTCCCTTTTCTGCAATAGCGAACGTGGTGGACGGTTGTTTGAATTTTTAGGGTTTGGATGATGCCTTCTGGCGGAGGACAACGACTGAAGCGGCCAGGCGCAGTTGCAGCCAACATTTCCCGAGTCATCTTTTTCTCCGCATCAGATTTAGGTTTCCATCTTCCCTCCATTAATGAGCTTAATAAATGCTTCGACACTGACGTTTGCTCCATTATATTAACGTGGCGCTAGGTTTTGTGGCTGTAAATGATGGAGAATGCAGAGTCTCTTCTTTGAATTAGTTTGTTCTGCACCGTATTAACTCGTTAATAAATGCTTCTTTTTAGATTTATCAGCTTTTGTTAGTTCTTTTGTTTGTTAGTTCCAGTTTAGGTGCCATGCGGCAAACTTATCTTCCTTATTTTCTTATACGATCTTGATAGGAAACCCTAGATATCTTCTTCTAGGTTGGAATGGGCATGTGGTCGTTAATGGTTTATTTGACTATATGCTATTATATCTGGTCTCTGTATTGGAACTCTTTAGGGTTGTTTGGTAATGGATTTAGTAAAATCTTATAAAGTTGGATTTACTAAATATTGCCTGAACGAGATTTAGTAAACCCATGTCTCAAGGCAATACTGAGCAGAAATTAAAAAGAAATTAGATTTATTACTCCCAGGATTTAAAACTTGTCATGCAACCTCTTAAAAGAAGAATAACTTTTTTATTCTTTTGGGGGTTAGTGGAAAGTGGAAGAAATTCTAGAGAACATTAGTTGCCAATTCTTCTGGTATCATGGCTTGGGTGCTGTGGTTTGGAATATTGGTTGCAATCAAGGATTGAGGTGTCTCATGCCTTGTTTATGGTTGGAAAAAGATGGGGAATCCTAACTACTCCTTTTCTAGTGGGGAATATAATGTACTGTATATGAATATGTTCAAACATGCAAAAGTTGTTCTATTACTATCATTCTCTTATAATGTGGGGAGCTTATCTGAAAGAACAAATTTTTTGGTGGTAATTTTATTCTATTAGAAGTTTTGGAGGGTCATTTACAGTTGATTTGTAGGCGGTTTCATGATTACTGATGAGAATATGAGGATGAGTGTGGAAGTAATCAACATCATTGAAGAGTATCCACGTATGAAAAGTATTGAAGTATAAAGTAATGTTCCTTCTAGAATCTCATTAGCGTAGATCAGGTGGATTGAGATTGTAAATTATGTTTTTTTGTCTTAACACTTTAGTTTTTTGCAAAAAGATAATTCCTTCTTGAGTGGTTACAATCAGCCGATTACCCTATCTACAATCCTAATACGTTGGGTTTATGCTTGTCAATGGCAAGTATCACAACATAGAACAAATGTCTTCATGGTGTCATAATACATATGGCATAGTGCGGTGCATGCTATTTTAAACATATTCTCAAATATTAAAAAATTATAAATAAAAATATAGTTGAATACAAAAGCTAGTAAATTAAAGGATAAATTATAATGGTAACAAAAATAACCAAAGTAATGTTTAGATTCACACGTTCAACACCTCAACTAATGGATTAAGTTGATGATATAAGAACGAAAAAATTTAGCGAACTTATTGGAACGAAAAAATTTAGGCACATCTCAAAATCATTGGAAAATTTGATAAGTGCATATTTAGAGCATCAAATAGCATTTTTTTATTAAAACAATAGCATTATTTATTCTTCTACCCATCTAACACCTCGCTGTCATAAGAAAATTTGATACCTAATATTTTCATGTATTATGTGATTCTAGTGTAGAGATATCATATTCTATTGTTATTATTTCATGACCAAAAAGAGCAATAAGAAAAAGAAACGTCCATATGAGTTGACATGTAAAATTGTGAAGCAATTCTATCAAACCAAAGAAAAAGAGGTGAGAGATCTCGTGCTTTTATTGTTTGATTTGTAAATTAAAATAAAATTAAAATCTAAACTCTAACTAGAATGAAATTAAATTAATAAATAGTATATGCATCAATTAAAGTGAATTTAAAGCTTTATCAAAATATCGGGTGCCATTGGGGCAATGCATCTTTGTCCATAAATAACACAAATATTTTCATTGTGCCACGCCATGCAAATGATGCAAGGGTTCGCTGCATCATCAATCATCCTTTTTTCGCTATGAACATGTATGGCAAGTCACTTACTACCAAATTTCTCTCATGCAAATAAGACAAGGGTACAAAAATGTTGTAGGAGAATTCATTCTATTAATCATGGCCACTTTATCTCCACTTATTACATTAAAGAACTCTCTCCACAAGGGCTTGTCACCTATCCTCATTTAATGGATGTTAATTGGAGCATCAGATACCTAGTAGTTTTCTTATAGAGTATAGTATGATTTTTCAACACATTAGCCAAATATTTGCTCCAATAATTGTGATACAACCTATTTCATTAATATCTATCACATATCAAATAATATTTTTGGATTTTCCTTTTGTGCAGGACTTTTCTATGTGATGCGGTTAGAAGGCCAAAAACTTCGAAAATCCAAGAAAAAAAGGGGATGCATCTACTTCACTTATTCCTTGGCCATAATGAACTAATCCTAATAACTCTATGTGGAACTTTGAGGGAGACCTAGGTACTATTAAGGCAACTTTAGTCTTTAGTCCCTCGAGATGTTTTTTTTTTGTGTCGCATAAAATTTGATTTGTCGCTCATAGTTGAATTAGTGGTGCTAAATATACAACAGAAACAACAACAACATGAAGCCTTTATACCTCCAAGTGGGGTCAACTACATGAATCATTTTCTCCATTGCATCCTATTGAGTGTCATATTTTTATTTAATTCTAATAGATTAAGATCATTTTTTATAGAACATGCCTAAGTCTTTTTAAGTCTACCTCAGCCTTTCTTAACATAAGTTGAATCTAAAACATCTATTTTTCTAACCGAATCATTAGATAGTCAACGTTCAATGTGACCAAACCATATAAGTTAACTCTCTAATCTTGTCCGCCTTTGAAGCTACACCAACCCTATCACGAATATATTCATTTCACATTAAGTGTCAAACTACTCATCCACCTAAGCATTCTTATCTCAACAACCCAAAATGTGTAATTATATGTGGTCGGGCTATACCTATTCGAAGAAGTCCACATGTTTATACCAAACATGGAGCTTCTTTTTATGTTGATAAGGGTGTAGAAGCTCCACGGATCAACATTGATATCTTAGCTTTTAATTTTGTTGCGCGTGTCGAGGTTATGATAGAAAATATTTTTGATGTGTTGGAGGCCATAATGGATAATTGACCGATCTCTCGGTATACCTAGTGATTTAGAGATTTAAAATTATAATTTATAAATTTGATAACTAGAGTTTTACCATTATTAAGCATAAAACACTAGGTAATAACGTAAGTGTATGTATCGTTCAAGTAAAATATGACTTTCTTTAGTCTCGAGTATCGATCTCACAGGAAGCCGCAGAAGACAATCACTTTAGCTGAAGTTCTAGTCTACTACTATAAAATCCTAGTTTGGAGTGTCGATAATGGTGGTTTTGCTATCACTACTCCTAAATTACAATTTTAATCCTATGTTAACATTTATCTAGAGCAATCAATAAGGTAAAATTCAAGATTGATAAAAAGTATTTTTCTCTTGTGAATAATTAAGTAGGTCATAAGTTTGATGTTTAAGAATGTAAATAAAATAGTGACAAAAGGAGTATATGTCTATCTATCCTCTCTCGATTTATAGATACGATTAGTTCACTAATTAGTTATTTGCTTTTGACAATGGTGTCAGTTGGTGCCACATATAGGCTCCCCATAACTGTATGCCCTCCTGTCACCTAGAAAGCTCTAATCTGAACCTACCAGAATACTTGTCTCCCTAACTTTGCACAGCCACCTAACTACTACGTTTCATAGTTATGGCGCCTAGGCACCAGAAAGTGGCCCCTAGGCGGTGCCTACTCTGTTTCCTGGTGTGGTTCGGACGCCTAGGCCCTAGGAAGTGGCGTCTAGGCACCACCTACGACTCTAAATATTGCACCCCCGATTTTGCTCCAATTCACTTCAATTGTTTTTCATGTTATTCCTGCAACAAAAATACAAAAAATATCTTCCTTTAAAGTGCAATTTCATTCATAAAAAATGTAAAAAATCTAGAAAATTAAGTATTCTAAAAGACACATCAGTAATCAAGTGGATATAGCTTCTCAGTTAGCTCTAATTTTTTAGATAGTTTTAACAAAATGAATAATCATAAGTGCATGCTAGTCTTAGCATCATTACGATGCAGGTAATTTAAATGGGTAAAGGAACTGTTTATTAAGTGATAGACCAATATATAAAAACCGACCCTTCAAGCTTTAATAGCACTGTAGGTTCTATGAAATCATATAATTAGCTCCATTGGCTTGAGAAGCGCCTTAAGATTTTGCTATGTCTAGATGAGCTCATAGTGGACTTAAAATCCTTAAGCTTCATGTTAATTCTAATGAAATGTGCGAAGGACATCATCTGAATAGTTTTTATTCTGGTGTGGTGATTACTTGAGCATTTTTTGAGAGGTGATTCTTATAGCAATATTTTTTGTTGCTTAAAAGAAATCTTTGAATGGTCCATAGAAGCTAGAAGAAGATGAGACGGAATTTCTATCATTTTATTTCTTCTTATGATCGGGCAAAGTGAAGATCACAGGCCATTTTATTGTTACATGAAGAACTAATTTAAGGTTGTATTAATCTTTTGTGAATAATGCCTACTAAGAGTTGGTGGATTGAGCCTTACATGAAGAGGGTCAAATCAACTCATGGGAAGTGAAAGAATCAAAAGGGGAAGACTATCACAACTAAATGGGTAGAGGTCATTCTAAATAAACTACATTTTCAATATCAAGTTCAAAAATTAGGGGAACCCTCAACCTTTTTTATGGCAACCACAGTGTAGGTAATTGTCATATTGTTGCTATTGCCATGAACCTGAAGTCAACAGTGAAGAATATTTTAAACGAAAAATCTGTAAAGTATTGACCAGCAAAGACCTTGTAAAATAGGACAACATTAAAGGCTTGGAGGGAGAAAGTAATAGAGGCCATATTATCCCAAAAGTCAATAGAAATAACAACAAAACAATTCATAGCTTTCCCACAATACCATTAACTTCTATAAATCCATAATACTAGCAACCACCACAAAGAAGGAACCACGCAAACAACCGATTCAATGACGAGTTTTATGATGACTAAACACTAAACACAAGATACATGAATCTTTAGATGTGTTGATTGGCATGCTTATTTTAAGTCAATTGGCAAATGTTTTATTCAATTTGGGATATCACTTGTTTAATATCGGAAAATTTTGCCTAGAAATCGTTGCTTGCTTCAATGTATTTAATCAAGTCATTATGTGCATTTTTGTGATTTTGGTATTGAAGTGTAATGTTTATTGCTCTTTTTATTTTTGTTGTTAAGAGTTTGAGGTGATATTGGATATGGATTGACTATCAGGATATCTTATTAATTTCCGTCTTTGGAAAGATCTACGTTGCCTCGAATAACACCCTTCGGTTTTAAGCATATCAGTGGAGAATTCATACAGTGTGTCTGTGATGACGGCGCAAAAGTTTTTTGCCCATATTTATTTTGCTCATGTAGCAGATACTAATAAAACTTCATTTTGCATTTTGTCTCAGTGTCAAACCACTCATTTACCTAAGCATTCTCATCTCAACAATATTTAACGTGTAATTATATGTGGTGAGGCTATACCTATTCGTAGAAGTCCTCATGTTTATACTAGACATGGAGCTTTTCTTTTTATGCTGATAAGGATGTAAAAGCTCCATGGGTCAACATTGATATCTTAACTTTTAATTTTGTTGCACATGTCAAGGTTATGAAAGAAAATAATTTGGTGTGTTGGAGGCCATAATTCGTATCAAGTGGATATAGCTTTTTAGTTAGCTCTATTTTTTTAGATAGTTATAACAAAATGAATACTCATAAGTACGCATGCTAGTCTTAGCATCATTACGATGCATGCAATTTAGATGGGTAAATGAAAGGTTTATTAAGTGATAAACCAATATATAAAAACTGTTGGAATTCAAAATAATGCAGAATGTTTTTATTGATATGAGAAGGGATATAAATAACTCTTACACGAATCGTAGAATAGGAAAGACAATAGAAAAGAAATGACAGGAAATGCAATTTATAACTCATAATATCTCCAATTAATCAAATTCATATTAATTGTTTTAGAGATAAATGAAACAACATAAAATAGGAAAGCTTAAAATAAGAAAGAAAATAAATCAAATCCAAGGAAATAAATCTAAAATAGGAAATGAAATAAAATTATATTAGAAAATAAATTTAATCCTCATAACTTCTAATATGAATAAATTATTTCTTAATATAACTTTTAACACTCCCCCTCAAATTTAAATATTGTTAAAAATCATGTTCAATTTGGATTTAAAAATAACAAACAATTGGCGTGAAAGACTCTGTGAGATAGAACTTGAATTCTTCATCATGTACTGCGGTTGTCTTTGACTGTAGTTCCTGTAGTGTCTATAGGTAAGTGGAAGGTTCCTATAGGCAATATTGCAGGAGATTTTGCTAGAAAATAAACAACTGCAATTGTCTTTGACTACAGTTCCTATAGTGTCTACAGGTATGCGGAAGACTCTTACAAGTAATGCTGCAGGGGAGTTTGCAGGGAAATAGACAATTGTGGTTGCTTTTGACTACAATTCCTACAATGTTTGCAAATTGGCAGAGGGCTCCTATAGATAATGCTTCAGAGTAGTTTGCATGAAATTAGACGATCTGCAGGAAAACGTGACTTCTAGTTGATTGTGGTTATCATTGACTGTAGTTTCTGATATGAGGAATACTTCTGCAGGTAATGCTGCTGGAGAGTTTGCAGGAGATTAAAAAACATTCATACAAGGTTGCAGGGTATGACTTGCAGAAAAAAAAGGAAAAAGGAAAATGCTCCGGAGGAGGGTCTCCTGCAAGAAAGATTTTGGGTGGTATGATATAGAAAAAACTTTAGAGAAGAGTCTGCTGCAGGAAAGGCTGCGGAGGAGGGTCTGTTGCAAGAAAGATTCCGGAGGAAAGGCTGACGAAGGAAAAGTTATGGAGGGTCTGTTGCAGGAAAGTCTCCTGAGGAGGATCTGTTGCTGGATTAATTCCGAAGGAGGGCAGCTGCAAGAAAGGCTCCGGAGGAGTGCTTGCTGCAGGAAGAATTCCGATGGTTTATTTGTTGTGGGAAAAGCTTTGGAGGAGGTTTGATACAAGAAAAAATTCTGGAGGAGAGCCTTCTACAGGAACAAGCTCTGGAAGAGGACCTGATGCAGGAATAAGCTCTAGAGGAGAGCCTGCTGCGGGAAGAATTCCAGTAGAGTAACTGCTGCATAGATTTTTTTTGCAACAAAGAAGTAACAGACAGAGAAGGGCATGTAGGCCGACTGATGGGATTCCATTCAAGGATACATCTAATATCGTCTATGTAATAATCTTTCTCAAGTCATTAAACCATAGATGAAATTCTGTGTAACAAGCTTCCCGAAGTATACAAGAGTTGTGTGAATATCTACAACATCCATGAAAAGCCCAACAATATCAGACGAAGCGACAACAAAAGTAAGTTGTTTGCATAATGTCTCTAGATTGCAATTATATGCCTCTTGAATCAGCCGTTGTGATTTCATGAGATTCCTAAGATTGCAATGAGCATCAACCAGGCGAGGATTCAAAGGAAGAGCTTGGTGACAAACTGAGCTGCCTCAGAAGCCTCCCCTTCCATTTATAAGCGCTTGCTACATTTGACCAAGCATTAGTGAATATGTCGTAGCTCAAGCGCCACCTTGTAATATCGTATGGGAATATCAATATTGACTTTAACCTTCCAAGCATTAGCCATGTTGCCATAGCATTTTGGAAAATGCGGGTCAATAGCAAGAGTCTTCTCATTCCTTGCAATACATTTGTTGTAATCATGCAACTGGTAATGGATGGCACCAAGCAACAGAAGAACATCTGCATGTTGTGGATAATTCTCGTAGATCATGCTGCAGTGTTCCAACGCCTACTTAAATTTTGCAGCTTTATAATTCTAACGGGCAAGCTCTAAGTGCATGTCATCATCAACATCAAACTGATTCACAAGCTGCAAAGGTTTGATATCGTTATAAACATCAGTCAGTTAAAGGCTGAGCACAACATCCTCCAATTGATCGCAATCACTGCCGAAGATGCTACAACCAAAACACAAGCTAGAAGAACCGGAAATGCCATCAATTGATCCAAGGACTGGCTGCACCTTCCCAAACGACATCATCGGCGTTGTTGGATGCTATCGCACGTCCTTCTGTTGTGCGAGCATCAACGTAGCCTTTCAAGATCTGTACAGAATGGGATCTATGCCGATAGCCAGAACCTCAGTGTTCTCAAAAGGGATTTTAAGGTCCGAGTGTGCTTGAGAAATGATCAGGAAGGATAGCAAGCAAGATCGGGGAGAGAAAGCGCCCCTCCCTTTTTATAGGGAGAATGGCAAGAATGGAGTCTGGAGGTTCTGAAGTGAGGATCGAAGGCTAGGGTAGTGAATTTAACTCTGATACCTTGTTGGAATTCAGAATAATGCGAACATTTTTATTGATATGAAATGTGATATAAATAAATTTTACATGAATCCTAAAATTGGAAAGACAATAAAAAAAACAAGAAAGGAAAGATATAACTCTTAATATCTCAAACTAATCAATTCATATTAATTATTTTGGAGATAAAGAAAACAACATAATATAGGAGTGCCTAAAATAGGAAAGGAAATAAATCTAAAATAGGAAAGAAAATAAATCTAATCCTCGTAACTTCTAATATGAATAAATTATTTTCTAATATAACTTGTAACAAGACCGACTGTCCAAGCTTTAATAGCATTGTAGGTTATGTGAAATCATATAATTAGCTCCATGGCCTTGAGAAGCGCCTTAAGATTTTGCTATGTCTAGATGAGCTCATGGTGGATAAAATCCTTATGCTTCATGTTAATGCTAATGAATTGTGCGAAGGACATCATCTGAATAGTTTTTAGCCTGGTGTGGTGATTATTTGATCATTTTTGAGAAGAGGTAATTCTTATAGCTATAATTTTTTATTGCTGAAAAGAAACCATTGAATGATCTATAGAAGCTAGACCAAAGGTATAATACCTACTCGTGAAGATGAGACGTAATTTCTATCATTTGATTTCTTCTTATTATCAAGCAAAGTGAAGATCACATGCCATTTTATTCTTACATGTAAAAATAATTTAAGGGGTGTATTCATCTCTTGTGAATAATGCCTCCTAAAAGTTGGTGGATTGTGCCTTACATGAAGGGGGTCAAGTCAACTCATGTGAAGTAAAAGAATCAGAAGGGGAAGACTATCACAACTTATATGGGTAGAGGTTCATTCTAAAATAAACTACCTTTTCAATATCAAGTTCAAAACTTTAGGGGAACCCTCAACCTTTATTATTGCAACCACAGTGTTGGTAATTGTCATATTGTTGCAAATCAAGGGTTCTAATGCCATGAGCCTGAATTCACTAGTGAAGAATATTTTAAAGGAAAATATTTGTATAAGTATTGACCATCCAAGACCTTGTAGAATAGGTCAATATGAAAGGCTTGGAGGGAGAAGGCAATAGTCGCCGTATTATCACCAAAATCAATAAAAATAACAACAAAACAATTCTTAGCTTTCCCACTATACCATTAACATCTATAGATCCATAATGCTAGCAACCACCATAAAGAAGGCATGCTTGTCAACAAAGCATTCAACCGATTGCATGATGAGTTTTATGATGACTAAACACTAAACACAAGATACATGAATCTTTAAATGTGTTGATGGGCATGCTTATTTTAAGTCAATTGGCAAATGTTTTATTCAATTTGGATATCAATTTTTTAATATCAGACAAATTTGCATAGAAATCATTGCTTACTTCCATATATTATAGCGAGTCATTATCTGCATGGTTGTGCTATTGATATTGATGAAGTGTAATGTTTGCTGCTCTTTTTATTTCTGTTGTTAAGAGTTTGAGGTGATATTGGATATGGATGGTTATCAGGATATCTTATTAATTTGCTTTATAAGAAAGATCTATTTTGCCTCGAATAGCACCTTTCAGTTTTAATAATATCGGTGGAGAATTTCATATAATTTGTCTGTGATGACGACATAAAATTATTTTGCCCAAATTTATTTTTGTTATTTTGCTCATGTAGCAGATACTAATAAATCCTGAAATATATTGAGCAACAAAGTTTATTGTTGATTTGATTTTGAGAGCAATTCTAATTTTTAAAGCGTTATGCACAAAGTCACAACAGAACTTTATAAATGCGGGACAAAAGCTTTGTTGCATCATGTTATTATGGTATCAGTTTAATTTTCAAGCTTTAGTTTACTTCCTTTTCTCTCATTCATGAAATATATTAACTTCGATGTTCGTTAGTAAATGCTACTAAGATTTTAATTAAAAATTGTTTTTCAAAATTCTTATTATTATAGAATTTTGCATGCAATTTATTTCATCGTTATATAAAATCACCTCCCTTGGCTTTAACTACTTTTAGTTAATTTAAGGATAGATTGTCTTAAAGCATATCTTATGTTGCCAGTTTGTATTAGATGTGGGATCCGGGCCGTGATAAAATAGTTTTTGAGCGTAAATTTCTCTAAAATGTTATATTACTTTTTAAATCAGATTAGTGTGGTAGATTTAGTTTTCTCTTGATATTGGTATGTTATTAATTTATTTGTGTAGAATGCCACCTGATATCGAGTGAACACACTTATTTCTCTACAATTTTTGAACCAAACATGTAGTCTCTTTTCAGGTTAACAGAAGTGTAGAAGCTCATGAGACCGTCGCTAATGCATTTGTTCATGCTGTAAAATATAATTTCATTGAAGCTTTGGAGTCTAGACTGGGCACTCTAGTGGATTTTGTCATTCAAATAGCTCAGGTGAGAGAACAAATAGTTCATGAGACATTCGTCGCTTGAGATATTGTGCGTATCAAAAAAAAAAAGTTTATTCTTGCAACTAAGGCAATTTTGGTAGTATTAAAAGTCATTTTTACTCAAGTTGATTAAGGCTTCATAACAGTTTAGTCATTTTAAGTGACAAAATGAGCGATCATCCAATGATGGATCAATTATTGAAAACAGTCCTAATGTCTAATGGAATGACCGATCTTACTTGCCTGTATCATTTTGTTGCTTTTTATCACTACAATACTAAGACAAAAACACTTAATAACTTATCTTGTTTAAAGGATGATATTATGAGGTATTTTATGATTTTAGATTCCTATATGTAGAACCTATTATGTTTTTTTTTTAATGCTTCATAAAAGTTTGGCCAAATTAAATGACAAAATGAGGGAGTATCCAATTATGGATCAATTCTAGAAAACATGTTCTAGGGTTTTAATGGAACGACCGATCCTACTTGCTTGTTTCATTTTGTTGCTTTTTATCACCACAACACTAAGACAATAGACTTAATACCTATCTATTTTAAAGGATGATAATATGGGGTATTTTATGATTTTCGATTCCCATATGTAGAAAATATTGTGTTTTGTTTATGGGAGTATGTGTTTTTATTTAAGGTATGGTATTGCAGTATTATTTAATCAATTTGAGTTCATATATGTTTTTAGTTTATCTTGGGTCTCGTTTTATATAATTTGAAGTCATGTATTTTGGGTATATCCTTTTTGTTTTTTATGTCGTAGGTCATGTTAGATCTTTCTGTTAAGGTTTGTTGGTGGGTACAAAGGTGGTGGTAAGTTTGTTAGTGTACCTAAGGTTGGTGGTGGATTTGTAAGTGGCAGGTAGCTTTGAATTTTATGACAATTATGTACTTTGATAGGTCTAAATGTCTGCTTGAGTGTTTTTTAGTCCTTTTTTCTTATTTGTATAATTAGAGGGTTACGTAATTTATTTTGGATAATGAAATGAATAAAATTAGTCTGTCAAGAGTGCATTTGCTCTTATGTTCTTTTTCCCCGAGTAAATGATCTCTCGAGTATGAGTGGCAAAATTGTTGTAGATAGAATTTCAAGGAAAGAAGATCACAACTACAATAGAGGACTTCTCATTAAAGTAATCTTTATCATCTCAAGTTTAACTATGAAAATTTCATTTTCATTGTGTTGTTTTTGTTTTTTTTTGTTTGTTATTTTATCTTAAATTATACAATTGGTGACACCATTCTTGGGCTCGTAAAAGGTGTTTAAAAAGAGGATAAAGTGGGGTGGTGGTTGTGGAACAGCAAGAGAATAATAATATGTGAGGTTACCGGTGTTTGGAAGAGCATAGGGTTCGTTCAACGACAATCTGGCTTAAAAAGAATGAGTCAAAAGGCGAAATGAAGGAAGATTGTACCACTTGTTCCTAAATAAGCTACATGAACACCACTTGCAAATGGACAATGATACACCACTCCTTAATATTGAAATTAGAGAATACAATATCTAAGATATACAAAACAAAGCTCAAGTCTCAAAACAGCAAAAACAATATATAAATAATTTCTTACTAAAAAATAATACTAATTAGAAAAAAAATAGAAAATAAGGGTCCACTTGACTCATGATAGCAAGAAAAGGAAAATTTTTTTGCTTAATCGACTAGCAGGATAGGAATCTGCTTGTTTGGACCCCTGCGATTGCAAGATTGTTTTTTTCATGGTATGCAAAATCTCACAATCACAAGCCCATGCCCGCGTCAGTGATCGTGGGTTGCCAATTCTGCGGCTTAGTCCTGCTTCATGATTTGCAGTCCTGAGGAGGCTTTCGCATTATGCTCCTCGGGCGGGAGAGGAATCGATTTGCCACCACCACAATGAAGTCATTGTTTTGTTGTGTCTTGAGTCACCCCCATTGCAAAATCTTTGCTTACTATCATATTTTATGGAGAATATAATGTGTTTATGTGGACTTTATTAAAATAGAATTTTGTTCGTCTTTTTTCGTCAACCAGAGACGAATAACTCTGCCTCATTTACCAATGATTGACGGACGATTCTCAAATTTGATGGAGAGTTTTTGTGCACACATGAGGCACATTATTTTGACTTTGATGAACAATGATTATTTATATACAAGCAAGATGCCTGACTTTGAGGGGTGACAAAGTCTTCATGCAAATCCTTTGTGTAGGACTAGCAATGAAACTTGTTATAAGCTTCTTTTCTTTTATTTCTTTTTTTGTTAATTGAAACAGCTATTGTACATTAAGGATAACTATAATGCTTAATTCCTATAAGGATAACCATAATGCTTAATTCCTTGTTATTGAGCTAATAATATTAAGTATTTTTAATTGCTTTATAGGATAATGATTTCTGAATAGGCACTAATGCAATTAATTATAATCCCATAGAATATGATATTAAATCTTTATAGGTATATTTTATTAAATTAAAAAAAAATGTTGGAGCAATTAGAGTAGGAGAATATGTACAATTTTAATATTATTTTTTGTCGAAGTAAATATAATGATACATATTATAGGGTGAGCTCAATTGCTTAGATAACTTGGGACAAACATTTAATCATGACCCATACTAATTTCTATTCTTCAGGGAGTGCAAAAAGTATACATGTAGATGTTGAGCAGAAGGACTGGAGAGACTCATTTAAGAGCATTTAATTTGAGCTGGCCGATATTTTAGCCTACAGTCGACTGGTTCTCTCGAGCCCTATTTAAGATTGCATGATGACTGCAACCATACTTTCAGGCTCATCTCATCAATGTGGTTGCTAGCCCTAATTAAGTTTGCATGATGAATTTGCCCAAACAAACTCGGTTCACAAAATGAACTTCATGAGCGCTTCTTGGATAGTGACCTTAGAAATGACACATATATTGTCATATTTCTGTGCATTATTAGATGACGTCTAAGTGTAATTCCAAGTCATGCAAATTAAACAAATAAATAATTTTAGAACCCTCTCTTCTCTTCCCTCCTAAATCAACTACTTATAAACTGGCTAATGCAAAGGCTTGTGGCTGGTTTTTGCTCGGCAAAATATTAGATACGGAGTTCACATGCATGCATACTCTTTGTGCAACCATATTGTATACTATTAAACTCATGTGTACAACGATATACAATATGATTGTATAAGATTCTTCCTAATGCATGCGAATTATGCAGGTAATATTTTGTGTGCTCGCGCCGCGTCCCTCCTCCCACACAGCCATTTATCCTCTCTGCTAGCGGCACTTTCTTTCTCCCTGCTGTGCACGAGCTCCTGGCCAGACAACTAAAATGCAACGAAATTCATATAATGCGGGGTCCGCACCTAAGAATTTTCCAGCAGCCTCGTCCACCTGCTGGCAACTCAACCCGTAGCACCTTTCTACTAACGCAGCCGCAGCAGCTCTCGTTCTAACCTGCGATCAGCGAAGCTTTCCATCTCCCGCCGCAGCAGCCCCCACAAGGAAGCTTCCCTTTGTCCGGCATCCTTCGCCAGGGGGCACATGCTGCAGGTCTCCCTTTGTCGCTGTTGGTGTGCTTCCCTGTTCACTAAATCTCACCATAACTCAGATTTAAGTGTTCTGATTTTGAGATTTCTACTTCTGGTGAAGGGGAGAGGAGTTTCACTCCAAATATTACAGATGGGACAGTATCCGATGAACGTTGGAAAGAAAATTTTATATGTAGATAAGAAATGTGTAGTTAAGAATGAATTTGGTGGTATTTGATAGTATTGTGATGTTATTGTGAAAATATCATCACAATACCACCAATCCGCACGTGCCGATTCAATATACGCTCATTTTAAAGGGAGAGATGGCAACCACGAAACCTCATCACGAAGAGATGAACAATAGATAGTCTGAGAGAAGAGAAAATATTATGTCTGACAAATTTGATGGTGATCCGAATGCTGTCGTATTTAAGTCTAAAGAGGAGAGCTGAAAATTATTAAATTGGTAGGGAGAATGGCCTGACATTTGCTTTTCTCTTTCACGTTAATGTTGATATTTTGATAGAATTGCAGAATCTGTGGTGAACTACGTTGGGTATTGGTGAACGTTGTTGCGCGTGCTTTGCCAACTAACTATGCAATACAGCTGACTATTTCATTAGTGCTGCTCAAGTCAGATTACAACAGAAATCTTGGCGTATTCCAGGACTTTGACTTTGCATATGATAGAGATTTAAGAAAAGTTATTTACATTGGTTGTTATTAGCTTATGGGCTGCCACTGTCTATGGCAGCAGTTTCATGAGTATTTCAAGTAAGATACCAACCACCGTCTCATATCATCCTCGCATGTATAAGATGTACACGGCATAATTAAGTATCCGTTCAAGTTGTTCCAACCGATGAGGGAGAAATAAGTTTTGAAGGCTGCATGCTTCTTGTTAGATGCGGTGAAAAAATTTAAATTTTGGTTGCAGTGTCTTGCCACATCAGTCAACCACATCTTATTAGGCGTCGTGGTCCGACTTGGCCCTGGAGATAGTCTCCAATCGAGAATGATGTTAAGAGGCTGTCGAAATGTTGCTAAAAATTTGACTGGCAATGAAGCTAAAATAAACCTAAGTTGAACCTAATCGAATCTTAAAATGACTAAAAATAAAATAAAATTGAAGATTTGAATAAGTGCAAGCAATTAAAGAAGGTTAAATGGAAATTAGTAAAGAGGCCTAAAAGAAAATTAGACCGACTTAAAGTTTAGAAAACCTCGTTTGAATAGCAGAACTTCCACAAACTTAGAAACCTTTTCAAAATTTGAAGATTGAATTGAAAAGCTAACTCCAGTTTTATTTATAGAAGTAAAAAAATGTCGTGTGAAGATTGCTTGTGTTTAATAAACTAGATGAAGACAAATTTCACCGTGCATATAAAAACAAAGTTCTAAAATGGCATTTAACTAAAAAATCTAAGCTAGAAGCCCCCTTGCCACCAAACTTGCAATCCTAATTATATAAGTAGATTGAAGGCTAGACTAAAAGCTAAAGTAAAAATATCTACATAAAAATCAATGATAATACAATAGTGCGAATAATCAAGCTTTTGAAAATCGGATCGGACATCAAATCGGAAGAAGGAAAAGTTCAAGGTTCATCATTTTAAATGTAGCACAAATGATTCATTAATCATATAAAAATAAAATCTTAGACAAAATATATAATGTAAATAAAATATAAATAAAAAATTCAAAATTTGACAAACATTTCGTAAAATTATATTTACTTTAGATTAAAAAAACACTTTGCAATATAAAAAAAAACAAAAAAAAATTCTTTTGAAGATGATAAATTCAAAAATCATGTTTATTGAAGGTCTTCGCAAAAGCTGTTTTCCCAAAAGTTGTGTGCCCACTGGCTCCTCAGAAAGCTTCCAAATTATCACTTTCAATAGTTTCAATTGTAGCTTTATTGGAACCTTCCCCTATACATACAAAATTCTTTTCTTAAGATGTGTAGTATGAGCAAAAACTTAATTTAAACTTTCAAATTAAATGTATTAACAATTACCATATATTCAAAATTGGTTAAGTTGAGGTTATATGAAATATATACGAGATCATTTAGTCTTTGATACTTTAGATGATTTATTCGCTTTGTATGAATATGCTAAAAAACACTCCAATTTTTTTTTCTTTTTATAGATTTGGAACAGTTGAGCCAAACATCTTCCACCATTCATCTGGATGAAACAAATTTTATTTAATAGAGGTACAACTAAGATACATGTATAAATGAAAAACTAATAAAATCTAAGATATGAACTTACAGATTACATTTCTTTTGACACCGCCAGGGTTATTGGCTTTTCAAAATTTTCTAAATTATCAAGAAAAAGCCTGACATTATTCATGGTCAATGCAGGTTTTGGGCATATATCTTGGTTTCCAACTATTTCAATCAAACCTTGCATAATCTAATGTTTATTACAATGGTTCTCATTTTCATATTGATATGAGGGTTCAAGAAATAAGTTGTAGTATGCATGCTTTGTCAAAATTGATTGTACCATCTAGTCTTGATGATACAAGTATATGGTTTGTATAAGTTTTTTTGTATTCCTAAACATAGTATTTATTGCCTTTCCGACTCGATACATTCCATCATATGATTATTCAAGTAAAAGTTTCTCATCAGAGTCAACAACACAAAGTAGTCTATAATTATTTAAAAAATATTAGACATTATAGAATGATAATATCATAATACTACTATTAGTAAATGATAGCAAAATGTAGTTACATAAATAAAAAATTCTAACTTGAATAACGGTCCCGATAGCTTTGACATTTTAAAACAATCATTTCATAACTTGAAGTCTAAATCGATAGAATAAGTTTTTCTTTCCTTTTGTCGTTTTATACAATTTTGAGTCTGTGTAATATTTGTTTGTGATGAAGGTCTGCAAATCATATTTATGCACATAAACACTCTTCAAACTAATAAAAATAGTAGCAACTTGGGCTTCTCCTGGACAAACTATCTCTTTCAACTCGGTGTTTTACGGTTTGACTTCTGAACAATAATTTCTTCTTCAACAACTTCAATGATGCTTCTTCAAACAGCTGCAACTGCCCTAAATAAGCTCTTATGCGTGAAATCTATATTTAATTTTGAAAAAAAATAATAATGGTGATATATGCATGTAATCTGTATTTCATTAAGTGTTATGCGTGAAATATATATATTTCAGTAATTCCTTTAGGGACCAATCGGACGATTTCGTGGCATCACAAATTTAAAATCATTTTAGTGGTACATTTGAGATCTAAAAGATTTGCTAAAAGGGCCGGCCCACTAAATTGCCCATAGTGGAACTGGCTATCATTGAGTTGATGGTCCAATCTGTTATAAAATAAATAAAATAATAAAAAGTAAGATTTACGTACATACCACTCAATTTTTTTTTTGTATTTAAATATCAAGGACCTAACCTTTATTTTTTATATCAATTCCACTATATACACAAATACAGTTATATGAGAGTTTTTCAACTACTAGATCGAACCCACCCATCATGCTCACCTGCCAAAGTGGCTGAATCGAACCCACGTAGTGAAGTGGTTGAATCCAATTTGCCCACTAGCACAATCGCTCTCATATCCCTCAAAAAGATAGCTTAGCCTACATGTGCAGGGGCAACTATCAGAAGAATCCATCATCGCTACAAAGAAGCCGCATTGACTAATAATGACAGCTGTCAATACTTTAATAAAGACGCTGCCTGACATTTACGAATAGAAATCATTCCTTTCACCCAAATATCATAAATGACCGTCTTACCGACAATGTCTGATATACGACCGACAATATCTGACATCCACACTACCGTCTTCTATCAAGACAGTGAAAAAAGTTGACATATAGTACTAGATGTACTACTTCAATTACCAAAATTCTCTTAAAATACTTTCATCCATCTCTCTCTATCACACTTCATCTGATACAATATTTTACCAAGCTGTATTGCTCACAAATAATACGAGACCCTACGTCTTTGCTAGAAGGATTCAAAAACCACCATATCTACGCACGAAAAAAGCCGTATTTCGCTTCGTAAAAGTACAAAATAATAATAATATTTTTTGTCTGATACAAAAGATTTGAGCGGTATATATATAAATAATTTGAGTTAGTCGTGAATGCAATTTATTTGAATAGCGGTTATTTTTAAAAAATTGGTTACAACTATGAGATTGAATTTTTGTTGTTTAACTTAACTGATTAAAAAACCTGGAGACAATTTTTATTTTATTTAATTTATTAATTTATCAAGCTAAATATTCTTTGCTAACAAACATAAAGTCTGCTTACAAAATACTGCCCTACGAATTTTCTAGCACGCAACAACTATCTGTTTATATAAAAAATTATTTTTTTGTATGATCAGATACAATATATTATAAGTGTAAAGCTCAAATATTTAGTGTTGTGTATTGTTGAATCTTGATGTATCTCTGAATCACATCTAAGAAATAGAATGAGAGAGAGAAAGAGACGGAGAGAAGTTAACAGTAAAACATCATATCAATCAGGTCATATTTATAAAATAATCTCTCAATTTATATGAGAGGGGGCACGATGTGATGATCTTACGTTCTTACCATTGCTTTATAGGGAGTTGCAAGGTATATTTTTAGTATTTTAGATGGATTATCTTAGCATCCGCAAGCTAAGCTCAATTTTGGTATGTCAGCCTGCTCAGTTTGGGATATGAGTCGATCGTTAGATTTGGTTTGACTATCAATCCCTAACCTCTGATGATAACTGGCCGGCCTTTGGATGTCTTTGGGTTACTGGGTAGTTGGAGATGCTAAGAAACTGAGTCTTCCCTGTATCAATTCACTTTTATATCGTCAATTCGTTGTGACTCTGTCTCGCGGTACGGCCGACTTTGGCTTTAACAGGTTCACTCGGACCGAAAAGTGGGCTGCATAATCTTCTGTTGGGGCGCCCTCATTTGTCATGTTTTTTTTCTCTTGAATCTTTAAATGTCCTCGAGATTAAGCGCTGACATTTTTTTATGTATAAAAATGCATAAAGTTTCCAACATACATGTCAAGATATGAAAATGAAGGTTCATTTATATATAGCATAATGTTTTATGTACATATAAATAAAATTATATTCATATTTGGTTCTTTAAATAGAAATAAAAATGCAAAAATAAATTGTCATATCAAAAACATAATTTCAGCCTAAAATTAATTTTTTTTCTTTTTTTTTAAATAAATAAATATATATATATATATATAATATTCTTTAAAA